GGGCGAGTAAGGAGTGAGCAGGATACCACCAGGCGGGGAGGGGAAGGGTCATTAATCTCATTATCATGATTGGGGTTTTCACAGATGTCTGTTTGTCCTACAAGGGAGTGACAGGAAAGGAGAACGCCCTGTCCTGAGTCCCATCCAAAGGCTACAGTTACTAGTCATTAAGTGTGGTTCCCATTTTGGGGGAAGAAAAGGAAAACACCAGGAAATGTCTTTAGACTGAGTTGCTCCCACTCATCCAGGTCCCTGCCATTAGTAAAGGTGTTGGAATTTTCCAGAACCGTATTCTGAGCCTTGGCTGCTGCGTAACTATGGCAACCAGGTGGCTCCCAGAGGAGAACTGTGGAAGCCGGAAGAGCAAACTGCTCCGTAGTGAGGTGGGAAGTCTTTATCTGCAAAGCTCGGGTTAAGTCTGTCAGGCAGCAGGACTGCTGGCCAGAGTGGAGAAGGGAGCAGACATCCCAGCCCCCGAGACGACGGGAAAGCTGCTGGATGAGGCCCCCCACCTCCACTCTCCCCCTCGTCTGCAGCACACACGCATGGGAGCATGCACACACATGCACATCTGTGCATGTGCATTTGTACATGTGTCTGTCTGCAAACATTCATCTGTAAGGTAGAGATGCAGTACACATGCCACTTCACATGACTATATGAGCATGCATGCACATATCTTCACGTTTTCAAGCACGCACAAACATGCTTTGCACACAAGCATATGCATACACATGCATTCGTATATACGCACACCTAGAGTCATACCTGTGTGCATACTTTGCAGGCATTCACATGTACGCCCATATAGACAGAGGCTCTGTAAAGAGATCAGGAGAAACCGCTATCTGGGACAGCCAGGGTCTGTATCAGGAGGATGTACATTATGTTGACTGAAAAATCTTTTCATCGTAATTCATCACCTGATAATATGGTGTGCAGATCATGAATTCTTTCATTACTTGCATTCATTCTTCGAATGTTGGAAAACACTGTGGAATGAACTAATTCTGAAAAGGAATCCTTTAAGGATGAGTGTTGTGTGGTCAGAAGATGACTTGGACAGGGGCAGCATCATGGTGGGAGGACTGGACGAGCCCACATGTCAGTCTTCACAGGGCTTGGCCACTGAGGTGAAGGTGACAGTCACTTGCGTGCCTGCCTTTTCAAGCTGAAGATCCTGGAAAGAGTAACTCCACTAGATGTCAGTGTCACCCCAGCAGCCGGAAGAAGGCAAATTTGTTTGACCAAGGTAGCAATTAGGGAGAGAATTCTCGCTATTAGCAGCGTGTCCCTGGTCTTGAGTAAGCTGATATTTCACTGTCCCTGGTGATTGTCAGAGATTATCAGCTTAAATTGGCAGAGTCTCATTATTGACACATTTCTTGTGGATGGACAGGCACACCACCTGGCACACAGTCTCAGTAAATGCAAACCCGTGCTGATGCGGGGGGCAGGGCAAGGCACCGGCTACCTATGTGAGATGCTCACCACGAGGCCGGAGATCATGGAGTCGTCCACACATCGTCATTCATAGGCCAGGATGTGGGCATGGGGCCCTGTCCAGCTGTACCTCACAGACTCCAGGATATTTGGACCTGCATACCCATCCATCCTAACAAACAAATCACTCACACTGATTCCCACACTAGTCTGCACTGGAAATCTCTCTGATGGTAGCAAATCATGTGTTCCATTTGCAGGGAAAAAATTGTATATACTTGTCAAAGGCTCAGTTAGCTCTAATTCCGGTTATTTATCTGAAAAGGCATTATTTTGAGGGCAAAAATGCTTTGCTTGTTGGCTCCTTGGCTTGGTGACAGGGACTTTGTGAGCAGGTAATGTAGTCCAGTGGTCCAGTGCCCACACAGTTCCAGTGTTTCCTGATACGATGTTTTCACTGTGGAAGAACTGCAGAAACCATTCCTCTGACTCCCTGCCTGTAGTGGCATGTTACCCCGTTTGCTGCTGCCACGTCTCTTCTTTCTCCTCCTCCTTTGGAAAGAAACAGCCTCTGCATAAGCACTGGAGCCCTCCACGTGTGCCTCCGGACATGAGGCTGAAGCGGGTTTTCTCCATCCTCCTCTTAAAGCTCTCGCACATCCATAAATTGTGCAGCACCGGGCCATGTCTGTTCTTAAACTTTATAGGCATGCTGTCATTTATACGAGCTTTTAAAAAGCCTGCCGTACAGTGTTGATGTGACTCGACAGAGCCAGGTGGCTGCCGTAACGGAAGGTGGCTGGGAACACCATCGCATGGCTCACAGAAACTCCTGGTGGGATTCCACAGCAAGCCAGACTGTTGGAAAGGTGTTTGGCTTCTTGCAAAGATGGGAATCCTGGGCGGTTGCTGGCGAGTGCTCCGGCAGCCCTGGATGTTTTCAGTGGAGGACGGAGGAAGCAGCGCCCTTCTGCTGAGGAGGCGGTGCTCACCTGTGAGCAAGGACTTACGGGGGTGTCCCTTTACAACCCTTTAGTCACTGGAGGGAAAGTCAAAATGTTTTGTCAGGAAGAAGGTGATTTTAGCCGTTGCTCAGCTGTGTGTGTGGATACACAGCAAGCAGTCCCCATGCTGGCTTGCTCTGTGATTATGTTAAAGGCACCCACCATTGGTGGTGGACTGATACACGCTTGTTACATTTGTAGCAGAGGTTGTCAGGCTGGAAGGGAACACACAAGCTCTTGTTACATTTGTAGCAGAAGCTGTCAGGCTGGGGGCGAACACAGTCACTGTTGACACTCGTGGTAGATGTTGATAGCAGCTCTGCAGCTAATGATTTCTGCAGCAGTTCAGCAGGCACCACCGGACGGCATCCCTGTGCCTTCTCTCAAGGGTAATGGGAAAACACAGAGACCTTCCCGGGAACTCATCTGCGTTCCCGCGTTGTGGATTCACGTGAGGTCTGTGGTTGAAGTTCCATCGTTCGAAGGGCTTTGTGGCCCAGCCTGTTGGAGAAAAAGCAGTTGTGTGGGAGAGAGCAGAATACCCCGATTCCTTGTCCTGCACACCAAAGCTGCTGCTGCTCCTGCCCTGAAATTTGTGCTCTGTGGCTCCCGCCCCCTAAAATGTTACCATTGTCAGTCTTTCTCTGCCTTGGTTTTGTAATAGTATCTCCCTACATTTCTGTATCTTTGCAATCAGATCTGAGCAAGGACACCCCCACACCACACCCCCACACCACACCCCCCGCCCCATGAATGTATCATGTTCCCAGGTGTTTGTGGGAATGCACCCGACCCTTTCTTTGGGATCAGGGAGTTCTGTGGGATCTGAGAACAGAGGGTGGAGGCACAGATGTGTTGCCTCAAGGAAGATGTTAGTTTTTGTTGGGGTTTTTCTAGCCTAATGTTTGTTTTGTTAATTATTCTGGTTAATAGAGAATAATGAAGATGGATTTCCAAGTTGAGAAATTTAGAACTCATAATCTTCTGAAGGTGCTTTGGAGATTCCTTGTCTATTTAAAACATTTGACCCAAAAAAAGAATCTGTGAACTCCAGGTTTTTCTTTTCACATGGAAACCTCAGTGTCGGGTCTCTGACGTGGGGAGAACAGACCCGAGGCTGTGAGCGGACCTCACTGTACTTACTACAATAGAAGAGCCCCCCACCCTTAGCTAAAATGCAGGGTAGAAAATGAGTAATAAACATCCCCTCCCTCCCAGCACAAAGGGGAAAAGCTTTGTACGTTATGTTCTCTTTGGCGGTCCTGCCTTTTGTGTTGGCTCTTGTGCCCCCTTCCAGGCTTCCCGCACCGAAAGAAGCCAGTGCACGGGGGCTGGTCCACAGTAGGGGCGAGATGTCAGCTCTCCTGACCCTTCAAGGAGCACATTTGCTCATGAGCACACCCGATCCGGGAGCGTCTCATAGTCTGACGAGGTGCCCCCACGTCCCTTTGGGGTCTGGCGCCCCTTTCCTCCTTCCCCAGGGAAGCTGGAAGCTCGCCCCACTGCCTGGCTCCTCTCCCCCATGATGCCGCCCCTTTAAGGGTTGAAAGCATCGAGCTGGACGCCCCTCTCACGGTGCTGAGGGCCTCGCCTTAGCTTTGCCGCAGCACCGGACACCACCGAGGACAGCCGGTTCATATATCATCTCCGATTTGAAAAGCACATGGAAGTGTTTCCCCATTTTCAATATTGCGTGAGTAATGTTCCCATTGAAAAGTAATGGAGTGAAGTTGTCACTTGTCAGTGTGGTTATTAAGGAGGACGAGGCGCCGATCTTTCCCTCGTCATAAAATAAATCTGTCAGTAAAAGGCTGCTCACTCTTCGTCCTGCCATTGAAGTGGAGACGGGCAGCGAGCCTGGTCGCGGTCCCCGCAGCTCAGGTGAGCCACAGAGAGTGTGGCATCCAGGGACTCGGCCCTGGCCACTGCCCTCTCAGGTGGCCTCCGTGTGGCTCCTCCCTCGAGCGCCACCAGGGCCTGCTTGCCTGTCCCTCCCAAGGGAACGACACGGTGGCCAAGGCGACTGTCCACTCCCCGCTTCCTTTCTCGAGCGTCGCTGGGGTGGTGGCACCGTGAGCTGGTTGGCTTCGGGATCTGCCATTTCCTCACCATCCGGACGGGGCACAAGCCCCATGAAACGCACACCTCCGTGCTCGCGGACATGCACCAGGCAATGGCCCAGCCGACTAGTTAATAGAATTTTTGAAATCATTCCGGCATTAATTAAACACCTACGTTTATGTAGCCAGTTCTCCGAATAGGCGGCCAGCGGCCCCCTCTCTCCTTGGCTGTGTTAACTGCCACTTCCAAATGCGTTTTTCTGCTGGGCGTTACTTTCCTGTATGGTCCATTGGTTTCTCGTAATTGAATTTTGAACTCTTTAAAAAAGAATTAAAAGGTAATTCATTGCAAAAGTTAGGAATGAATCTCCTCTTGGAAGCTAAGCGTCGCCAACACCTACGGGCCTGCTTCTGGGACGAGGGTGTGTGTGGGGCACGTGGGGTCTAAATAGGTGTTTGCAGACCGTGCGCGGAGGAACGGAGCCCCGTCTGCCAGCCAAACGCTAACTGTCCTTTTGCTCCACAGTCCCGGAAAGGGAGCGACCCAGACAAAGAGAAGAAAGGGCTGGAGACGCGAGCGGACAGCATCGGGAGCGGCCGCGCGATCCCAATTAAGCAGGTACGCACCCCGCTTCCCCCCGTTCTTCCCAGCAGTGGGAGACACACCTCCGTTCTCGCAGGCAAGGATGCTGGCTCCCGTGCCAAGCTGCATTTGATGTGCTCTGTTGATGAATGTGGAAGTCGTTCACTTGACATCAATTAGGAGAGGTTCCTGTGTGTATTAAAATAGGATCATTAGAATAGGAAGGGGCCTTGACAACACTCCTAATGAAGTGAGCTGCGCGGCCTGCATGTGGAGTGCGTCCCGGCTGAGCTGGCTTCAAAGGCCGCCTTTGTCGCCAGGCTTTGATTGGGCCGCTGGCTGCCGGGCGGCGAGTAAATCAGCTCGCCACACAAGGGCCCCTTGTGATCACAGCCTCGCCCGACGTGGCCCTGATTTGGTCTCGCAGACGGTCATCTGACGGTGTTTCAGGCTGGTCTGTAACAACGAGGCAATTAGCTGTGATCATCATGGCCGGTGTGTCAGCTGTGCGCGCTTGTTTGTAATTTGCTAATGAAGGAATTGTAACTTTGATTAGGTTCAGTTTCATTTAAACCTTATTATATAAAGGCACATTTACAGCTGTAATGTGGGGCCTTAATTAAACTTCCCCATTACACAACAGGCCTCGCTCTCAAGCATTTGTTTTGGCCTCGGCCGCTCGCCGCCGATAGGCTGCCATGAGCTCCAAGAGCGGGTGTGGACACCGGGTACCAGAGGGCTCCAGGTCTGAGGATAGTGGCCACCCACTTGCCGTGTGCACTGCTCAGATTTCCAGGGGAGAGAAGACCATCCGGGCCGTGTTCTGTCTCTTCTGGAAGGCCCACTTGGCACACCTTAAAGGTGACCAGCTGATTTAGGGGGCACTGGGCTTGGGGAGACTGCCTGGTAACAGGGCACCAGTGGTCCCCTTAACTGTGGTCCCTTGGTCCTCCCAGGTCTCGCCTCATCTGTAGCCACCTGGATGGATTCAGAGACTTAGCCCTTGGAGTTGGCACTGGGACTCCTCGAAGAGGGGAATGTCTTTGTGCAGGGGTAGCTGGTTTCAGCCGTTCGGTACAAATAGGAATTTGTTTAAGAGAAGCCAGGAGCCAGCGAGTGCAGCTTGCAGAGAGAGAGAGGAAGAGGGGGCTAGCGAGGGGCCCAGCGTGAGGAGGGGTCACAGTACCAACTAGCACGGCCTCATGTTGCCTGCAGACCCGGAAAGCACTGCAAAAAATCTGCCTTCCACTGGTGGCAGACGCGAGGCTGCCAGAACGTTCTAGTTCCCTTTGCCAGCTGAGAAGAGGAGCGGTGACAAGCCAGAGGCTCAGATGCTGGCAAATGAGTGTGCATCCGTGTCAGAGACACCTGCCTGGGGCTCAGCCACTGGGCCTGGTGTCCACTCTGAACCCGTATCTCTAGAGTTGTGGGCAGTCCCTGGTCCTGGATGTCAGACTTTTGTTCAAACCTCTGCCTTCCACACAGCCATGTTTATGGTAGGTGTCGGGCCTGACGGTCCCACCTCGCTCGCAGATCCAACAGTGGGCAGAGCTAGTTTGCGTCTGAGGACCGTGTGCGTGCGTGCAGCTGCCCGCTCTTGACCGGTGCATCTCACTGAGCTCTCGTCTTCATGCTGCTGTTGCGTGGAACCAGCTCGTAGCTGACCCTCCAGCGGGTTTTCCCAGCCATAAACTGCACGGGAGGAGATTGCTGATTTTTCTTCTGTGAAGCACCTAGTGGCCCTGAACTGCCTGCCTTTGGGTTGGCAGCGTAACTCCTTACCCATAAACCACCAGAGGTAGCTTCTTCCTCCCCACCCCTGCCAGGAGTTCAGCTTTTTATTGAATATGTTACAAAAGAAGTTTAGTCAAAAAAGACCAAATCCTACGTCGTCATCAGATGAAATGAGAGTCCCAGCCAAGTGTGGCTTTAGCATCCTCGGAAGAACCGAGCATCTTAGTGGAAACTGACAAAATGGGCTGGAGACGGCTTCAGTGTGCTGCTTATGCTACTACAGATGGGTCTCAGCGGTAACTGAACCTCATTTTTAGAAATGGGTCCTAGGAACGTGTTTCCTAGTATACGGAAAGCTGTGGTAGAAGGTTCTTTCCTTGGGGTACACTGGTGAGGAGAACCCCCAGGACATGGAGAGCCCATGTCCGCACCCCAGCTTCATCTGTGGAGGACACCACCCAGGCTGTGTGGACATTGGAGTTGACCACTGAGCTAACATGGGGACTCTTCCTCCATGAAAGTCTTTGTGAAAGTGTAACAGTATCTCCTCTGAAAATACAGAGAAAGGTGGGTGGGCATGAGAGCGTGAGCACCGCCCCACTCCCAGTAACTCCCCTCTTCTCCTGTAACATCCCCTCTCAGGCCCGCTCTTCCTCCTATCCCCTCCCCAGCCACGTCCCCACACCTGATGCACAGCCATGCTGCAGCCCTCTCTCCTTCCCAAGCCCTCATCACATCCACAAAACTCAGACCAAGCCCCACTCTCCTGCCTGCCCCTGATGCCTGAGCCCTGCCCCAACTCAGGTACCCAGGCCACTCCCCACCTCCACAGCACAGTCCTCCCTGGGGTGAGGCCATACCCTTACACCTGAACCCCAACCCAGCACCAGCCTTTTCCTGACCCCTGCGACCCATCCATCTGAGAGAAGATCCCACACCTGTGTCAAGGCAGCACCCCCACCCCCCTAAATCACTCCCCGTCAGTCATATTCCTTATGTCCTGGTCACACCTGCACCTCAGCTCATGCCTCTCTGTCCCCCCACTGAGTCCAGCTGCTCCTCCGTCATCCTCCCCGACCCCACCCTGAACCAGATCCCGCCATGGGCATGTGACCCTCCCAGTCCCACCCCCACTTCATTCACACCCCCTCCCAGCCGTGGCCCCCTACCCCACTGTCGTGGCCCCTCCCCTGTTCTGGAACTCCAGCTTCCTCATCTGTAAAATGGGAGCGAGGGTTCGGGCCTGGTACTCTTCTGGTCACTGCTGAATTTGGGGTTTTGCTCCCCTAACACAGGACTCAGTTGGGGTAGAAGACGACTGCACCGTCTTTAGTCTCAGAGCTGTGCAACTCGTGTGCCCACGGCTTGCCCGTGGCCTGGGCTTCGTCAGCTGTGTCCGCTCACGTTGAGCGTCTTGTGTGCGTGAGGCAGACGCGCCTGCTGGGGAGACGGCCGCCCCAGCCTCAGCCCACTGGCCTGAGTTGTTGGAGTTTTTTTCTCTTGGCTGAAAGATTTCTCATCGTAATTGTATGAAATACAATGTGAGTGAAGAATACGGTGACACACACACACACACACACACACACACACACACACACACACACAATGTATAGGAACTTTGTAACCAAACCAGAAAAAAAACCCCAAACTCCAAAACAGAGTTGCTTCTGATGTTGCTTATGAACAACAACAACAAAAGAACATGACTGACTGTATACATGTTGCCCTCCCCCCTTTTTTGTGTCTTTGGAGGGGTTTTAGGGAGTTTGGCTCAGGTGCCTTCTTCCCAGGTAAGATCTGTTGGGATAAAATTGAAAGCGCCAGGCTGGAGGCAGAAAGGGCAGAGCCGCTCGAGCGGGGCGTGGCTCCGCACGTATTAATTTTTCATTGCAGCGTGGAGTTGTACATACATAATCACTTGATTGCGGTGGGAGTTGGGGAGCGCCCATGGTGTCATTTGCATAAATCTTGTTAAGTCAATGGCAGTTAATGAAGTACAAATGAGCCTGGAGAAGGTGACATGGAGATCGGGGGTGGCAGATGGGAGGTCTGTTTGGGGGACGGCAGCTGCGGGCTCGCCTGCCTTTCTTTCTCTGGCGGTTTTTAATCTCTGTGTTTGAGCACAGCCTCGTCCCTGAGCTCTGAGCACACGTGACCCCAGCCTGGCCCTCCCTGCTGGCCCCTGGCACTCACCCACACGGCAGAGCTGGGCCCACCCTGCGGGTTGGAGGTCTTCACAGATGGAAAAATCGCAGTTTGTTTGTTTGGTTGCACTTGCATTGTAGGTGGAGGGCCGGGCTGCTAATGGGAAGGTTGGTAGTTCAGACCCACCAGCTGCTGTGCCGAGAGGAGAGGCAGCCTGTCCTGTTAGGACGTGGATGCCCAGGAGTCTGAAGGGACGCTGGAATCGTAGGACCAGGTTTGGGGTGGTGATGCAATGTTGATGACTGTTGGTAGCCCAGCAAATCAGGCTTTCAGCAGCTGGACTCGAGGTCCGTGGTTTGAACACGCTGCCCAAGTGGAGAAAGATGAAGCTGTGAACTTCGGTAAAGATGGGTGCCTTGGACGCTTCCTGGGGGTTCAGCTTCACCCCTCTGCAGCTGGCATGGGTAGAACTGACTAGCTTACAGTGGTCTTCAACACTGAAACAGACACGCCTTTTTCTCTTAGGGGAGAAAACATAAGTACAAGAGCTTCACAAATCTTTCTGAGAGCGCTCTGCTGTTGTAACACGTGACGGCCCCAAACCACCAGGGCCTGCAGAGTACACAGGCTGGTGATCTTGTCCAGCATCGTTCACAGCTCGGGAACCCAGTGGAGGGACAGCCGCGGGGGGGGGGGGGGGGGGGGGG